CTTTTTTAACATTTGTGGGAAGAGTGGTTGGGGTCTGATTTATTCTTCTACTAGTGGGAACCAAACTTTTATTGTAGCATTAGTCTGCTGACCATCAACAACGTCACTTGTGGAACCGTCATTCTCATTCTTCTTTGGAGGTCCCAACTCTTGCACTTTAGGATCATCTTTCACGATCTTAGGGATTGAATCACTCATTTTTCTTCCCCCTAAACTTAGCGTGAGTGTATTACACTGCTCTTTACCATGTGGTTTAGTGACTTTAGTATCACTGGGCAGACTATCTTGTAGACGAGCATGTAATTCTACAGTAATTTGATCCACTTGGTTCTCCAAGACCTTTAGAGATGAGATATAACTTTGCAACAAGGCTCCTTGGTTCTTGATAGTTGTAGAATGATCCTACAATAGAACCTTTGTAGTTACCATGAAATCTTGGAGTGTAGTTTCTAAAGAATATGTAATTGATGAAGATGCTTAGCTTTTGTTGGCATTTTTCATGGCATATTATGTTGAAAACGTAGGAGTTTAGTCATATTTTTTGTCCCCTAGAACTACTTGTATTATTATTCCTTTGATTCCTCCACGAGAAATTTGAATGTTATTGCCAACCAGGGTTGTAGGTGTTCGAGTAGTGGTTGTTGTTGTTTCTATTGAAATTCCTCACATAGTTGGTAGACTCATGGTAGTCAGGGCATTCACTCACATGATTATTGTCACGACATACAACGCATGCAGAACTGGCCACCTTAACTTCCTTCACTTTGCTAGGGCACTGAAAGTTTTTTAACATGTTGGTGATAATCAATAATTGAGTTGAAATGGAATCCTTAACATCCAATTCAAAGTTCCCTTGAGCTTTTCTCCTTATTTCTAGCCTTGATGATGGAAATTGGTAGTCATTTTTTGCTATAGGTCGAGGATATCAAATGCTTCTTCAGATGACTTATCCAAAAAAATTCCATTTCCTGAGGCATATATCATCATTCGTGTGAGAACATTAACACCATTTGTAACATCCTCAATACCGAGTTAGTGATTAAAGTGTAATATTTTAAAATTCGATGACCAGATTAAATAAATTGAAAAGTGAATGAATTAATTGAAAAATATTGGTGAAGGATTAATTAATAAATGAATGAAGAGTAAAAGGGTAAAGGGGTCATTGAACAAGGGGTAATAATTAAATAATTAAATAATAATTAATGGGTATTATAATACCCATGTGAATCATAATTTGGGGAAACATAGTTTTCAGAATTATCTTCTTGTCTTCTTCTTCTCCCAAACGTGAAGCACCCAAGCCCAAGGTAAGTGTGATTTCTTTTGGTTAATCCTTAAAATTTAAGTATGGTTTTCATTAAGGAAGACATAAGAAACATGGTGGAGATGAAAAAAGGTCATAGAAACTCAAAGATTTATAAGTTATGAAGGATTAAAGATAAGAAGTGGATAAGTTAAATTTTGAATAAAGATGTATAAGTGAATTTAGAAGTTGAATTTGACTTGTCATAGGAATGAATAAGAAGTTATAAGTGTTAGAATTAAGTTTGGATAACATGGAAAATTTGGTAGGATTCTAAGCTTTAAGAATTTGGATGAGATATGGAAGATAATAAGGTGTGAGAATGATAGAAATTAGTTAAAATGGTTGTAACTTGAGTTTGGTGGTATGAAAGGAGCTTTTTATGAGAAATTCAGTGAAGAGTTGATAAATTTTCAGGTGAAAAAACCTGTTTTGGGCAGAGTGTATCGATACTCTACGTATGTGTATCGGTACTCTACGTATGTGTATCGATACCCCCTTGAACGAAAAATCACAAAATACAATAAGGGTACAGATACCCTAAGGAGGGTATCGATACCCCCTAAAGGAAAAGTTAAAGTTTGGTTCATTAAATTATTTTAAGTTATTATTATCAAATTACAAGGTTTAGGCTTTTGATAATCATCTTGAAAATTATATTTATGTAGATATCGAGCCTAAACGAGTTCCGGAACAAGTGACAAGTAAGATTGATCGAGGGAAAAACAATGAGACATAGGTGAGTGCATATGCAAATCATGATTATAAAACTATATTCAGTTCTAGACTTGTGATAAGTCTAGATTTAATACTTTGATATATGATTCATTTCATATTATGAAACATGATATGAGTTCATACCGCATTATGTGACATGAATATGCAAGAAAAGTAATATGAGCTATGTGATAAAGGTATGAAAATGACATGTCTAAGAGATACACTATATGAATTATGAAAGCCCATGTAATGTAGATGAGAACCATATGTATAGTTGGCATGCCAAGAGTAGAGGGTCTACGCGGTCCTTCAGGACAATTCTACGTGGTCTTTCGGGACATATATATATTCTTTGGAACATGTATGAGGTCTTTTGAGACACATACTTGATCCTTGGTATATTTATATGATTCTTAAGGAATTTCTATGTGGTCCTTATGGAAAAATCTTATATGGGACTACGGTGCATTTCTATGCGGTCCTTCGAGACAAATTCTATGTGGCACTTCGGTGCAAATTTATACGAGCTGTGGTGACAGCATAGTGCAGAACCTCATAGTACTCACATACCTCAGGTTCTCAGTATTATATCATGGGTCGGTGAACTTATTATATGAATTCATAATGGTTAATTTGATGAGATTACAGGTAAGATATATGGTTACGTAACTTGCATGGATTAAATATGTAATTTTGTTACATTTCATCTCATGATGACATTATCATTATACTTCATTGTCATTATTATTATGCCTCACTAAGTCTATGACTTAGCGTGTGAGTGTTTCACACGTAAGATCGGAGAAGATAGACAAGCAAGGTTAGACAGTTGGGACAACATTACTTCTACAACAATCAGATCAGAAGAAACTTAAATAGTATGTATTATTATGTGATAAATAGGTTGGCATGTAAATAAAGTCTTTAAATTAAGTATGTGAGCTCTGATCGAGTTTTGGAATGTTTTAAACGCATTTATGTAAATGATAACTTTATAGTGTTAAAAGTTTAAATTTTTATGAGTTTTAAATGTTTTGCCTAAAATTACTGTAGCAGGGTATCGGTACACTGTAGCAGGGTATCGATACCCCTGCAGCAATCTGGAAAAATTTTAGTATTTGGTACTATTCATAAAACGTATATTTTCTTAAATTGGTTATAACAAACATAATTCAATAATATATTACCATATTTTTTCATATAAGTCCAAATTATCTGTATTTTGTTAATAATATTATTTTAAAAAGTCAATGTGACATCTCATACTCGTATTCGGGTCAGGTACAGGTTGGGATGTTATATTTAATGGTATCAGAGCTACAGTTTAACCGATTCTAGGCATAAACCATAGTCTAGAGTATCTTTATATGTGTACATGCTAACATATAGTGAGAACTTCTGATCTGGTATAGTAATGAGTATGTTGTTTTGCTAATAGAACGATATGTGAATTCTTATTAGATGTCCGAACATGATAGTTCTCGAAGTGAAGCGGGAGATGATCGGCCCGCTGAAAGTAGTAATTCACCTGCCCTTGCCAGGCAAGGTGAAGAATAGACACCTTTTGGAGTATCTATAGCTGATCAATATATGTTCTTTAGAACGTTAGATATGGTATTAACGCGTTTCTAACCTCCTGCTCCATCAACTCCCAGAGTAAATGTAGCAAAGGAGTAGAGACGATTAGGAGCTCCCGAATTAAAGGGAGAATCCGAAAAAGGTCTGATTGCAGCGGATCTTTGGTTAAATGATTTCAAAATTATGTTAGATGGTCTCCACTGTTCTGAAGTGGAGAAGCTGGATGGAGCTGTGTCATTACTTAGAGGACAAGCTAGAATATGATAGACGAATGTCACTATGAGGATGTCAAGTGATCAAGTAACTTGGTATATGTTGTTAGAAGAGTTTAAGCACAAATATATTTGAGAGTTATAGTTTAGCCGATTCTAGGCGTAAACCAGAGTCTAGAGTGTCTTTATATGTGTACATGCCAACATATAGTGAGAACTTCTGATCTGGTATAGTAATGAGTATGTTGTTTTGCTAATAGAATGATATGTTTATTCTTATTAGATGTCCGGACATGATAGTTCTCAAAGTGAAGCGGAAGATGATCGACCCGCTGAAATTAGTAATTCACCTGCTCTGGCCAGGCAAGGTGAAGAACATGCACTTTCTGGAGTGTCTATAGCTGATCAAGATGTGTTCTTTAGAACATTAGATATGGTATTGATGCGTTTCCAACTTCTTGCTCCATCAACTCCCAGAGTAAATGTAGCAAAGGAGTTGAGAGGATTAGGAGCTCCCGAATTTAAGGGAGAAACTGAAGAAGGTCTGGTTGCAGCGGATCTTTGGTTAAAGGATTTGAAAATCATTTTAGATGGTCTCCACTATTCTGAAGTGGAGAAGATGGATGGAGCTGTGTCATTACTTAGAGGACAAGCTAGAATATGGTAGATGGATGCCACTATGAGGATGTCAAGTGATAAAGTAACTTGGTCTCTGTTCTTGGAAGAGTTTAAGTAAAAATATATTGGAGATCAATTCATCAGGCAAATGAAGCAGGAGTTTATAAATTTGAAACAGATGAATCACTCCGTATATGAATACGAATGTGAATTTAATAAGCTGAGTTGGTTTGCTTCGAAGCTTTTGATTACTAAAAAAGATGTTTGTGAATGGTTTGTGGAGGGCTTGCGCCCTATATTGAAAGAGATACTGATAGTACTGAATTTTTCATCGTTCCAGAAGGTAACTAATCGTGCTAAAGCTCTTGAGAGAGCTCAGAATGAGATATTTAGGGACTCAAGAGTTCATATATCTAAGAGGACTGATACTTTTTCGAGTACAACACCATCAAAAAGAGGAAGAGATTTGGGATTCCGACCTCAAGCTAGATCAGAATCAATTGCATCCTCTGCTAAAGGAGCAAGTTAGATGAGAACTTGACAGATGCAATCAGTGGGATCCAATAATGGGAGAGCCACTCAAAGTCAAGCGAGATAATGTCAGCATTGTGGGAAAAATCATTTTGGAACATGTCGAATGGCTTCTGGAGTCTGTTTCCGATGTGGAAATGCCAGACATTTTATCTGGGATTGTCCATTAATAGGGGTGAGTTTGCACCATTTGAAAGGAATGTTTCTGCTTCCCAAATAGGATGAGGAAGAGGTAAAGGGAGGAATCAATATGAATCCTTTACACAACTTGAAATTCGCTCTACTGCACGGGTATACAATTTAAAGACAAGTGACGACCGTGATGATCCTGATATTATAGCAGGTACTTTCGAGTTGTATGATAAATTAGTATTGGTGCTGATTGATCCGGGTTCTAATTATTTATATATTACCAGTAAATTAGTAAAGGAATTGAGAATCCCTTTAGAAGCTACGAGTAATAAGATAATAGTAACTAATCCTTTAGGGCATAATTCTCGGGTAAACAAGGTCTGTAAGGGGTATCCCCTAAAAGATTCAGGGAATTAAATTCCCTACTAATATGATGGAACTACCTTTTGATGAATTTGAAGTGAATCTGGGAATGGATTGGCTATTTCGTTATTATGGGAATGTTGATTGTAGATTGAAAAAGGTAACTTTGAAGAGTCCAGAAGGGATAGAAGTAAATGTGCTTAGTGAAAGGTCTAATCCTTTAGCAAATGTAATATCGGCAATGGCAGCAAAGAAGTTGATGCTACAAGGATGACAAGGTTTTCTTGCAAATGTAGTAGATACAAGAGTTAAAGAGAAAGGGTTAGATGAGATTCCGATAGTCAGAGAATTTCCTGATGTGTTCCCTGCTGAGTTGCCAAGATTACCTCCAGATAGAGAGGTAGAATTTCAAATTGAAGTAATGTTGGGAACAACTCCTATTGCAATGGCACCTTATCGTATGGCTCCGAAAGAATTGAAAGAATTAAAAAAGCAATTACAAGAGTTACTAGAGAAGGGATTTATTCGACCAAGTGTGTCACCTTAGGGAGATCCAGTGTTATTTGTTAAGAAGAATGATAGTTCAATGCGTCTTTGTATTGATTATAGACAGCTCAATAAGGTGACAATCAAGAACAAGTATCCCCTTCCTCGAATTGATGACTTGTTCGATCAGTTAAAAGGAGCTTCGGTATTTTCAAAGTTTGATTTACGTTCTGGTTACCATCAATTGAAGATTCAGGAGAAAGATATTCCAAAGACGGCATTTAGAATGAGGTATGGTCACTATGAGTTCATTGTGATACCATTTGGAGTGACAAATGCAGCTTCTGCTTTCATGGACCTCATGAACATGATTTTTCAGCCCTATTTGGACCAGTTTGTTGTTGTCTTTATCGATGAAATACTAGTGTATTTGAAATCCAATAAAGAGCATAGCGTACATCTGAGGATAGTTTTACAAATTCTCAAGGATTAGAAGATTTACGCTAAAATGTCCAAATGTGAATTTTGGCTAAATGAAGTAATTTTCTTGGGGCATGTGATCTCTGAAGATGGGATTAGGGTGAACCCTCAAAAGATAAAAGCTATAATAGACTGAGAAGTTCTAATGAATGATTCGAAAGTTTGGAATTTTCTTGGACTTGCTGGTTATTATCGAAGATTCGTTAAGAATTTTTCGATGATAGGGATGCCTTTAACAAAGCTGATGAGGAAGAACGTATCCTTTGTTTGGACTTCGAAGTGCCAAGAAAGTTTTGAAGCTTTAAAGAGAATTTTGAAAGAAGCTCATGTATTAGTTCAACCTGAATCCGATAAGAATTTTATAGTATACAGTGACGCGTCCCATAATGGATTGGGATGTGTATTAATGCAATAAGGGAAAGTGGTAGCGTATTCATCAAGATAGTTGAAACCACATGAAAAGAATTATCCAGCTTATGATTTAGAAATGGTTGTTGTAGTGTTCGCTCTCAAGATTTAGCGTCACTACATGTACGGAGAACGTTGTTACTTGTATACAGATCATAAGAGTTTGAAGTATTTGATGACTCAAAAAGAACTTAATTTGAGGCAAAGGAGATAGGTTGAGTTCTTAAAACATTATTATGTGATAATTGACTACCATCCCGGAAAGACTAACGTGGTAGCAGATGCTTTGAGCAGGAAAACGTTTGTAGATTTACGAGCTATGGATGTAAGATTTTCTTTAACTGGAGATGGTGGTCTATGTGCAGAGTTAAAGCTTAAACCAATGTGGTTGGATCGAATTGAGGAATTACAAAGTAAAGATGAAATGTGTTTGAAAAAAATAGAGCAAGTAAAAAATGAAGAAATTAAAAATTTTGAGGTTAATTCGGATGGGAAATTGTATTATAAAGGAAGATTTGTGATACCAGACGATGAGGAATTGAAGAAAGATTTATTGACAAAGGCTCATTGCAGCCTATTGACGATGCAACCAAGTCGAACCAAGATGTATATGGATTTGAAATATCGGTATTGGTGGTTAGAAATGAAAAGAAATATCACAGAATTTGTGTCTAAGTGCTTGGTATGTCAACAAGTTAAAGCTAAGCATCAAGTTCCGTTCATGATTATTGCAACCGCTTTCCATTCCACAATGGAAGTGGGAAAATGTGATGATGGATTTTATTTCAGGGTTACCCTTGACTCTAAACAAAAGAGATTCAATATGGGTAATTGTTGATCGATTAACTAAGTCAGCGTATTTCCTTCCAGTTACAACAGATTTCTCTATAGAAAAGTACGCAGAGTTGTACATTAGAGAAATTGTTAGATTGCATGGAGTGCCTGTTTCTATAGTTTCTGATCGAGACCCTCGATTTACTTTAAGATTCTGGAAATCCCTACATGGAGCATTGGGAACTCGTTTAAACTTTAGTACGATTTTTCATCCTCAGACTAACGGGCAATCAGAAAGGACTATTCAAATCTTGGAAGATATGTTGAGAGCATGTGTAATAGAGTTCAAAGGTTCGTGGGAGAAATATTTTCCACTGGCAGAGTTCTCTTATAACAATAGTTATCAATCCAGTATCAAGATGGCACCCTATGAGGCGTTATATGAAAGAAAATGGCGTACTCTATTAAACTGGTATAAACTCAAATATCGAAGTGTTCTTGGTCCGGATTTGATTCAAGATGTGGAAGAGAAAGTTCGAGAAATTTAGAATAATCTCAAAGTGGCATTATATCGACAAAAGTCCTATTCTGACCTTAAAAGAAAAGAGATTGAATTTGAAGTTGGAGATAAAGTTTACTTGAAAGTATCTTCCTGGAAGAAAGTATTACGGTTTGGACGTAAAGGAAAACTTAGTCATCGGTTTATTGGACCTTATGAAATTGTAAAGAGAGTAGGACATGTGACATATCAACTAGCTTTGCCACCTGAGATGGAAAAGATACATGATGTCTTTCACGTTTCAATGCTTCGAAGATATAGATCTAATCCTACTCATATCGTGACACCATAAAAGATTGATGTTCAATCTGATCTGACTTATGAAGATGAACTTGTTCAAGTATTAGCTCACGAGGTAAAACAACTGAGGAATAAGACTATTCCTTTGGTCAAAGTTCAATGGATAAATCACAAGGTAGAGGAAGCAACGTGGGAGCGTGAAGAAGATATGCGGCATAAGTACCCCCATTTGTTCGTGTAATGAAAATTCGAGGATGAATTTTCTTAAGGGGGAGATTTGTAACATCCTCAATATCGGGTTAGTGGTTAAAGTGTAAGATTTTAAAATTCAATGACCAGATTAAATAAATTGAAAAGTGAAGGAATTAATTGAAAGATGTTGGTGAAGGATGAATTAATAAATGAAGGAAGAGTAAAAGGGTAAAGGGGTCATTGAACAAGGGGTAATAATTAAATAATTAATGGGTATTATAATACCCATGTGAATCATAATTTGGGGAAACATAGTTTCCAAAATTATCTTCTTGTCTTCTTCTTCTCCCAAACGTGAAGCACCCAAGCCCAATGTAAGTTTGATTTCTTTTGGTTAATCCTTAAAATTTAAGTATGGTTTTGGTTAAGAAAGACATAAGAAACATGATGGAGATGAAAAAGGGTCATAGAAACTCAAAGATTTATAAGTTATGAAGGATTAAAGATAAGAAGTGGATAAGTTAAATTTTGAATAAAGAGGTATAAGTGAATTTAAAAGTTGAATTTGACTTGTCATAGGAATGAATAAGAAGTTATAAGTGTTAGAATTAAGTTTGGATAACATGGAAAATTTGGTAGGATTCTTAGCTTTAAGAATTTGGATGAGATATGGAAGTTAATAAGGTGTGAGAATGATAAAAATTAGTTAAAATAGTTGTAGTTGAGTTTGGTGGTATGAAATGAGCTTTGTATGAGAAAATTCAATGAAGAGTTGATGAATTTTCAAGTGAAAAAACCTGTTTTGGGCAGAGTGTATTGATACTCTATGTATGTGTTCCGATACCCCCTTGAACGAAAAATCACAGAATGCAATAAGGGTACAGATACCCTAAGGATGGTATCGATACCCCTTAAAGGAAAAGTTGAAGTTTGGTTCATTAAATTATTTTAAGTTATTAGTATCAAATTACAAGATTTAGGCTTCTGATAATCATCTTGAAAATTATATTTATGTAAATATCGAGCCTAAATGAGTTTCGGAACAAGTGACAAGTAAGATTGATTGATGGAAAAACAAGGAGACATAGGTGAGTGCATATGCATAGCATGATTATATAAATATTTTCATTTCTAGACTTGTGATAAGTCTAGATTTAATACTTTGATATATGATTCATTTCATATTATGAAACATGATATGAGTTTATACCGCATTATGTGACATGAATAGGAAAAGTAATATGAGCTATGTGATAAAGGTATGGAAATAATATGTCTATGAGATACACTATGTGAATTGTGAAAGCCCATGTTATGTAGATGAGAACTATAGGTATAGTTGGCATGCTAAAAGTAGAGGGTTTATGCGGTCCTTCGGGACAATTCTACGTGATCCTTCAGGACAATTCTACGTGGTCCTTCGGAACATATATGTATTCTTTGGAACTTGTATGAGGTCTTTTGAGACACCTACTTGATCCTTGGTATATGTATATGATTCTTAAGGAATTTCTATGTGGTCCTTATGGACAAATCTTATATGGCACTACGGTGCATTTCTACGCGGTCCTTTGGGACAAATTCTACGTGGTACTTCGGTGCAAATTTATATGAGCTGTGGTGATAACAAAGTGCACAACCTCATAGTACTCACATAACTCAAGTTCTCAGTATTATATCATGGGCCAGTGAACTTATTATATGAATTCATGATGGTTAATTTGATGAGATTACAGGTAAGATATATGGTTATGTAACTTGCATGGATTAAATATGTAATTTTGTTACATTTCATCTCATGATGACATTATTATTATATTTCATTGTCATTATTATTATGCCTCACTAAGTCTATGACTTAGAATGTGAGTATTTCACACGTAGGATCGGAGAAGATAGACAAGCAAGGTTAGACAGCTGGGACAACATTACTTCTACAACTACCAGATTAGAAGAAACTTAAATAATATGTATTATTATGTGATAAATAGGTTAGCATGTAAATAAAGTCTTTAAATTAAGTATGTGTGCTCTGATCGAGTTTTGGAATGTTTTAAACATATTTATGTAAATGATAACTTTATTGTGTTGAAAGTTTAAATTTTTATGAGTTTTATATGTTTTGCCAAAAATTACTGTAGCAGGTATCAATACCCCTGCAGCAATCTAGAAAAATTTTAGCATTTTGTACTGTTCACAGTATTGTTCATTATTGTTCACGGTACTGTTCATACCGTATAGTACTATTTATAAAACATATATTTTCTTAAATTGGTTATAACAAACATAATTCAACAATATATTACCATATTTTCTTAATATAAGTCCAAATTATATGTATTTTGTTAAGAATATTGTTTTAAAAAGTTAATGTGACATCTCAGACTCGTATCTAGGTCGGGTATGGGTTGGGGTGTTACACTATTGTAGAACATCATAACTTGCATCCAGTCGTGGAATCCATGGTTGGTACACTTGTACAAGAATCTTTTATTGTTGTCCCCACACTCATACATTGATTCGTTATCAGCTTGACGAAAAGATGCTATGTCATTTCTGAATTAAGTGTTCATGGTGGGCAGATTATACCACAACAAAAACTTTTACATAGATTAGAAAAAGATTTCATCGATCCGGATGGAACGCTACCTAGCCAAGCTCTTGTTGGGTCATGCAATAAATAAGGGAATAATTTTAGCTTCAGCGCATCTTCATGTACCCCTTCCTGTCTAAAGGAATCGCACACTTCCAAGAAAGCACAAATGTGTTACCTTGCATCTTCCTGAGGCGTACCACCAAATTTCCTGATCAAGTTTAACATGTTAAACATCACTGGTTTA